TGCCCCGGTGGTTTTGTTGCAGAGATAAGGAGGTGAGAGCTAAACACTGGCTGTGAAGCCGTCTGTGGAATATAAACTGAGATACCTGATAAGAGCTTGCACCCACCCCCCCCCTTCGGCTGGAGGCGCCACTTCTCTTCTTCTTCGGGTGCTTTAAAAAAAGTTTTTTTTTAAAACAGGCATGGTGGGGTTTTATTAGGAGTTGAGGACAGGCAGACAGGGGGAGGCCTGGCAGGTTGCTCGGTTGTTTTAAGGTGGTTCCACATGGGGTAAAGCAGCCCATCGGCAGGAGCAGAGGCCCCCACTCCCATCAGAGCCCTGTGGAAGAAAACCACCTCCTGAAAGAGGAGAAATGAAAGCAGAGGAGCAGCAAACAGCAGGTCTGGCCTTTTCAATGCAGCCCACGTTTTTTGCATCCGATTTGAATCCGATGGCGGTGTGAAATGGGCTGAAGCTGCCAGCCCTCCTCCTGCCTGTGTGGGATCGGCTCTGGCCGTCTTCTCCACTCTGAGGGCCGATTTCTAAAAGGGCGAAGACAGTTTAAGGAAGGATGAGGGTTGAAAGACAGGAAGAGATGAGGAGTGAAGTTCCTGCCCGGAAAATTCCACCCAAAATCCCAGTTGTGTTTTCATTCCACCTGTTTGTGCCATGATTTGTCAGCTGGGGTTTAAAGCTTTGCTAAAAAGTGGGAAAAGCTGGCGTTTCCTCTTGTTTTCTGATGCTTTGGTGCTGCAGCTTTTGGTTAGCATCAGGAGCCCACATGCTCCTCATCTGTCCTCATTAGGAGGCTGATTGTCCCTGAGTGATGTTTTGGGCTCACGCCATCCCCTCCGCTGCCTTATTAGCTTAGCCGGGGGCAGCTAAACACTGAGAGAGCACGCTGGCGTCTGGAACACCCATGGCTAATAAAAAGCACCATTTATTTCCCGATGCTGAGCCCACGGAGGGTCTTTACTCAGCCCCATGATGCGAGCAGGTTTGGCTTTTAGGAGAATGCATCAGGTGGATTTCAGACTGGCTTAAACGATTAGTTTTAGCTGATTTTGGCTGGAATTGTCACTCATTTGTCATTCATCGACTCCGAAACTGTGTCCAAAGCAGCTCATTTTTGTCCATCAAATCTTGTAAAGTGGTAATAAGTCTCCTTTTTGAACACTTTGCTGCTTTGGTTGAGTTTGGACTGAAAGGAGAATGGCGTAAATCTGGACCCTAAACAAAGACACAGAGCACAGATTGGGCTAATAAATCCCCGAATAACGGCTTCCCGCACAGCAGCCGCTGAGCCAAATGAACCAGAGCAAACAGCTTAAAGCCGCTCAAAGCTTCTCCTCCCTGAATGTGTCTCTAAATCTTCACCTTCTCCCACTTTCTGCACGTTAAATCGTCAGAAGGCAGACACACACACACACACACACAAACACACTTATATACATAAATATATATATATATATATATATATATACACACATATATAGTGTATGTATTTGGTGTATATTTAGTGCCTGTGGGCTCAGAGCTGGGACTGAGGGCCAGATTGGGAGTAGGAGGCAGACGCAGTGTTGACGTGAGGAAGAGGAGGACAGGGTGGTGCTGATTGTGTGTTTGTGTGTTGCTGTGTGCGCTTTGCTGCACGCTGGCTGAGGTGGAAAAGAATGACAAGCATGTGGGACTTTTTCCCAGAGCTCCGGTTTACTGGACTCGGACGCTGTGAGCTGAAGGGGGGCGGCTGGAAAAGGCTCGGAGAGACAAAGAAAAGGCAGAAAAACGCTCGCATGGCGACGTGACGCACACAGACGGACGCACACACAGACACACACACATGCACACGCTCCAGCTCAGGGCAGAGGGCGGAGCGGGGACTTCCTGTTCCTGGCTGTGACGCCGTCCCAGCAGCACAGAGCACGGCGTGAGGCAGCTGGATGCTGGTTCAGCTGGGCACTGACCAGTGGACCCCGGCTGATCCGTCACAGGACGGAAAGGCTATCGCACACAGCACAGCACAAAAGACTTCACACAGTTTATTAAAATAAGCACAAATCATCCATATGAATCAGAAAATCCTGTTTCCTGTCTGTCAGACTGTGTTTTGTTTGGCCTTTTTCAGCCATTAGCTAAAGAAACTAAAACAAATGATGTGTCTGTGTGACAGGCTGCTGCTGACAAAGAGCCTAAAGATCCACTTTAAGCTGCTGCTCTGCTGATTGGACAGAATGCTGGCTCATCCCTTGAGTTATGGGCCTTTTTTCTGCCTGCATCCCTCTGAGGTGGCTCAGCTGGAAGGACTGAAAACGAGGGAAAGGCAGAAAAACTCTAAGCTGCAGAAATTCCTCTAGAGGCCAAACCCACAAAGCCTCCCCCCCCTAACCCCCCCCCCCCCTCCATTAGTGGGGTCCCACCAGCTATTTTCCCTCCCGGCCTGGACCTCACCACAGTCTAATGTGTGTGTGTGTGTGTGTCTTTGTGTGGCCGTCCTGGTTTGGCTGCTGCAGCACCACAAACCGCCGGTGGCCCTGATTCCCCTCTTTGTGGCCCATTCTGAGCCCCCGTGGACCCCGGCCCCCCCCACCACAGCCCCTCAGGGTCTCCCCTGACAGCGGGAGCCGCCGCCACCCAGGCCGCCGCTGCAGCTGTGAGAATTTGCGAAGCACGTTCTGTGGATTTTGCAAATTGTCGTCGGGTCGGGAGTCGTTCCATCGGCTGCCGGTCTGGGGATGAGTTTCTCCCACGGTGGTGCTGGGAGCAAAAACATGGGTCTGAAATGAAAACGTTCATGTTTTTACATCGATTTCTCAGCCTTGAATCGCAGCCGGTGGTTTCTTTAGGGATCGGCCATGTTTTTGATGGGTGTATATACAGCAAAACCTCTCCATACGAATTTATCTCGTTCCAGGACCTACTTGGTATGTTAAAATATTCAGATGTCGGTTCAAATATTCCCATCAGAATACACTGTAATTCCTATAATTCATTCTACAGCCCAAAAACCTACGATAACTCCGTAATAAACACTGCACATAATTACACATAGCAATAAAGCAAATGCATTATATGAGAGAGATGGAAAAATAAATAAATCATGAAGAAATAATTAATAAAAATGTTTTTTTATTGGCAGTTGGAGACTGAGATACAGGACATACCCTACATTTGAATATTTTGTATATTTTTTATATGACTTCAACGTATGTTGGAAATTTACTTTGGGTGTCGAGTCAAATATTTGATTGAATATCACTTCGGATGTTGAAAAATTGGTATGTTTAGGCGATCGTAGGTAGAGGTTCTGCTCTATAACCATTTGATGATTTTTTGGGGGGGAACTGGATTTTTCTATGCATTTTAGACAAATTTGTTGTGTCTTAAAGTGGGTTTCTGAGTTTTGTCCTGATGTGTCGACACACGTTCAGCCCCCTGATTCCAGTGGTGTCTGGGGTTTCTGTGCTGCCCTGTCGGGGGGGTGTTTGGGGGGATGCCCCCCTGGGGGGGTTAGTCGGCCATAGCTCGCAGTTCGTGGCCGTTTTGTGCCGAGTGGGCGCCTCTGCTGTCATCACAACGTGGCCCCGGCTCTGTGCCGCGAGGGGCATGCGTGAGTAATGTGTCCAGACAGGCCAGGGTGTGTGTGTGTGTGTGTGTGTGTGGGTGTCTGTGTGTGGGTGTCTGTGTGTGTGTGGGTGTGTGTGAACCTGCTTGAAGGCGAGGCTGCGTGCATCCATGCGTGTTGGCCTGTGCAGACTCAGCCTTTTGCCGCCATTCGTCCAAATGTCTAATCCCCGTAATCCCCCGCCTCCCCCTCTTCCGCCCCCCGCCTCCCCCTCCTTCCCCCCCCCCCTCCCCCTCCTCCCCCCTTCCCGTCTCCGGCTCCTCTGTGATGTTTGCGCCTCCGCTGGGGCCGGTTGTCTGACCCCCTCTCTCTGTCCGGCAGGCGGTGGAGCGGGAGCAGGTGGAGCGCATTCAGCCCCAGCTGCAGCACGCCAACGCGGTGGGCCAGGGCCTCATCCAGAGCGCCGCCAAGCACACCGACACGCAGGCGCTGGAGCACGACCTGGAGACCACCAACCTGCGCTGGAACTCGCTCAACAAGCGGGTACGACCCCCACCCCCCCAGCAGAGCCGCCCTCAGGGCCGCCGGCGCCCCAGATTCAAAGGGTCCTGAACGCCACACGCCCCCATGGCCCAAAAATATGGAATTCACCTTCTGATTTGGATTTGGAAAATCATTTTTATGCTGGTCTGTAGGGAAGTTGTTTTTTCCAGGCAAGTGCCAGCAAAAATTGCAATAGTAAATAAGACCAAAGCTAATAAAGTGCAATGCTGAGTTCCCACAAGGTCCTTCTCTCTGTCTGCTGGTGGCCCTCAGAAGTTCCATGCCCTGTTAGGAGAAATTAGGCCTCAAAGAGGGAAAAATCTGTCTTGTAAGGCTTCATGTTCCACCTTCCAGCAGTTTGGTCTCTTCTAGATGGAAAAACCTTCCGCAGGGGAAGCTGAGCAGCCATTTTGGGGAAGAACGTTAATGTTTTCTCACAGTTTTGAACCTCCAGCCGCCTTAAACACGTGCACATGAATCACCTGATGTGCATGGACCAGTTTATGAGGTCATTTGAGGACTTTTAATGTCTCAGCTCTGCAGAGTTTCAATGCACATGGTGCATTTAAGTGCTCTACAAAGCTGGGATATCAGGTTTTGGTCATGTTGGCACTTGTTGGCATGTGTTCTCTGTAAATTATAATAAAAATGAAGTGACTGCCAGCATGAATGAGCTCGTTAAGACGAGGTTTCCTTTTCTAAATTCTGCAGAATCTTCGTCACATCCCTCCTCAACCTCTCCGACTTTTCCGATGAGGTTAAGGAAGTGTTCACGGAACAAAATGCGACGTATCTTTGACTGATTGACCAATTCTGCATGCTAGCAGCTCCTGAAAAAGCGACTCATTTTCTCTGTGTGCAGCTTTTATCCATCATGTTACACACAATCCCCATGAAAGCAGCTTTTGTTTGTCTGAATGACTGCAGGAACTTAGCTAATGCTAATCAGCTCATTTAAGTTGGAGGATATTTTGGCTCCTCCAGTTATTTATGTTTTTTATTTGGACAGTATCACAGGGATGCACGTTTCTGAAGTCAAGAGGAGCTAAATAAATGGATAATAGCTTTGTTGTTTATTTTTTGTCGGTTTTCTTGTGTCATTGCTCTCATCCCTGTCTCCTGTCCTCAGCTGGCGGAGCGGATAGCCCAGCTGCAGGAGGCCCTGTTGCATTGTGGGAAGTTCCAGGACGCCCTGGAGCCTCTGCTGAGCTGGCTGAGCGACACTGAGGAGCTGGTGGCCAATCAGAAGCCTCCGTCTGCCGAATACCGCGTGGTCAAGGCCCAGATCCAAGAGCAAAAGGTAGGAGGGGAAAGCTCCCAGACAAGCCCTCCTTTGCACTTTAATCCGACTTCCAGAGACGCCCCTTTTCTGTGATAAAAACCAAAACAAAGGAGCAACAGGCCTTCTTTACAGGGGTCTGTGTCAAAATGGCCCCTCACATATTCCAGATTTATTTAACCTCTCGGACTTCCCTGGAGTCTCTGAGTCAGAAACGACCTCTAACTGACGTCCAAAGCTCACAGAGGGGCTTGGCGATGCGTCTACTGGCATCGAACGTCCCGGCCGGCCGCCATAGCAACAGGCCGCCATAACAACAGGCCGCCTCACATTGTTTTCAGACACTCTGACACGCGTTTCCATGTTTATCCAACACGCGCTTCCTGTGTTTGTGCACATGTGAGCGATCAGCCGCAGAGAAAAGCTTTTGTTCTGTTTAGAAAGGCTGTTGATGTTAAAAACATTAAGGAACAAAGACACTCATAGCTTCTGTTTTTGTGCTTGTTTGGAGAGATACAGCACCTTTTTCCCTGGAAAACTTCAGCAGGAAGTCTTGATGTGTACCGTTTTGGTGGGATTTCAGAGAAAAAAGACAAAAAATGCAGAGAAAAAAGAGTGTCAAGAACATTGATTGCTAATTTCTGTTGATTAGTTTTTAATTGGTCTTTTTTTCTTTATATAGAAGCATCAACCTGCAGGTTTGGATCAGATTGAATAAGCTAGATAGTATCCAAAATGCCAAAAAAAGTCACTTATTTTTAATAAAGCAGTAAAAGTCTCTATTTTCTTCTGTTTTGGAGACAAAATCACAGAAAAACCATCAAAGCTGAGCGTTAAAAATTAACATGTTTATAAAATGCTTTTTATTACTCAGAAAGCAAATAAAAATAACACATTTTATAAGCTTTTTAGATGTTTTAACCAGTTTTTTATTGTGGTTTTAACCTTGTTTTTATCCTGATTTTATTGTGTTTTTCCCTGGTTTTATTCTGTTTTTTGACCTGGTTTTAACTTTTTTTTTTAATCCTGTTCTTCAACCTGACCCCTCTGAGTTCTTCTTCTTCTTCTTGCAGCTGTTGCAGAGACTCTTAGACGACCGCCGGCCAACCGTGGAGATGATCCGCGCTGAGGGCGAGCGGATCGCGGCCACAGCCGACGCTCAGGACCAGGAGAAGATCCAGACTCAGCTCCAGTGTCTGTCCGAGAGGTGGTGCAGCCTGCTGGACAAAGCCAGCTCCAGGTAACCCACCCCATCCCTCTAAAAGGGAAGTTTGGCCAGCAATCTGATCACAGCCTCCCAGCAGAGCAGCTTTTGTGTTCATCGGGTCCAATCTGTGGCGTTTGCTGCTCTCTGGTTTCACTTTGGAACAACAAACTAGTGCTGCTGGGTTCAGGTGACACACGAAGAGCAAAAAGACACTTTTCAGGCTGTTTGGAAGCGAAGCAGCCGCTTACAGTCCAATTAAGAGCAACTAAAAACCATCCAATTGTTATTTTGTGATTATTCCTGCTTTCAAAGGTTAATTTTCCCACAGAAACACAGTTTCATGTTCACAGAGAGAAGTTGTAGCTACAGTTTATCATCAGGATGGCGTCCAGCCTCCCTCTGAGAGCTTCGTCTCCTGTAATGTTTGATGTAAATCAGCTTAAAGCTGCTCCTGGGACACAAAAAGCACTCGTAGATAAAGACACGGTGGCTCAAAGGGGGCGCTGATCGCTCCAAATCAGTGGTTATTATTATGAACTCCAGCAGCAGGTGCTCACAGCCAGTGTTACACACAGACTCCCAACACAAGGTTTATTTAGGTGTGATCCACAACCGGTATTTCTGGAGGACCCCCTAAATCCGATCTGGCTTCATGCAGGTTTGGAGCAGCTCTGTCAGACGCGACGCATGGACATCAGGCTTGATTTTGGAGTTTATGACGATATGCACGCAGAAAACGTGCACGTCTTTTTGAAACCTGTGTAATAATCTGCTAGCAGGACTCGCTTGATCCGATTAAACGTGCGATTTCCAGCAGCTGGAGGTCACAAAAATCGATG